CGTGCATCCATGGGCGGCGGGTTGTCGATGTCGTCGTAATCGTCGTTATCGCTTGGGGCGTGGATAAGGTAGTCTTTGCGGTGGTTAAAGATGAAGGGCACTTCGTAGTCTTCGAGATTGATAAACTCCAGGACCTTGCGCACAGCCTTCTCGAAAGGTTGCAGGAAGTAGCGGGGGAGGCCCTTCTTTGGCCACAGCATATTGCTGATCCAGGTGGCCTCTTCTGTCAAGCGTGCTTGCATGTCTTCTGGTGTAAGCTCGATCTCCTTGAAGGATCTCCGGGCTAGCTGCAGTCGCTCGGGAATGTCGGTCTCGCGGATGACGTTGTCCTCATCCGTAAGCATGCGCTCCTGTAGTTGCGATGGCTCGAAGACGTCCTTGAGCTGAAGCTCACGGCCTTCACCGGCTTGCTCATCCTCCTCCGCCTCTTGCATTTCCAGCGCCCAGTCGTAGTCTGTGCCATCTCCAAAGGCAGCCCTGTAATCTTCCTCTGCTCCCTCGTCCAGACCAGCAGCTTGCAGTCCCTTTGTAATCAGATTTATGCCTGGTTGTGTGACGTCGCGGTCGTCTTCGATCTCGTCTTCGAACTTGTCGTCCTCGATGAAGTCGTCAAATTCGTCGCCTAGGCGCCCGCGCGGCTCGTCGTAGTCTTCGTTTACTTCGTCGTCGGAGAAGATGTCGTCCACGCCGCGGGACTTGACGCGCTCCTTGTGACCACGCTTCAGGCGCTTGAATCTCGACTTCCCCTATGTTAGCGGTGTCCACGATCCAGCACGGTATGCCTTACCTGTTCTTCTGCCGGGCGCTCAACCTCGACACCGATCAGGTCCAGATCCTCGTCATCTAGGGCCTCTTCCTCGTGACGGTCCTTCTTCCTCTTCCTGCGCCGACGTTTGCGCTCCGCGATCTCGTCTTCTTCATCCTCGTCTGCGATGAAGCCTTCACCTTCCTATATGTCCATTAGCATCTGCAGATGCTCCAGCCAGTACGGCCAAGCTTACCTGTCGCAGTCTGTCTTCGTCGTCGTCATCTTCCTCCTCGCTGGAGTCGTCGATGCCATTGGCGCCATTTGTTTTCTTCGGCCTGGGTTCAACGGCGTCGCCGGCCTCGCCATCGAAGTCCTCATCCTCCTCCTCGTCGCTGCCTACGTCGGCGATTGTGTCGAAGAACTCCGCCATGGTGATTCAAACAAGGACAACGCGTGGACTGACGGGTCTGGCGAAGGAGCGCGATGGGCGATTTCGGCGAGCTCTTTGCGGCAGAGAGGTTATCGTACTGCGGCGATTCAGCGGGAGGGAGATTCGGGCGCAATGGAGGTAAAGGAGAGAAGGAGGGCAGAAGTAGCCTCTCTCAAAGGTTCGCGCAGCCATCGGCCGCGTTAACTTTCGGCCGCACTGACGCTCGTCACGTGACAGCCTGATACGCGCTAGGCGGATACCATCAACAAAAGTTGACCATACCCGACTCGGAACAGCATGCTACAGCTACGGGCATCAAACACGTGGGCTGCCCTAGCCTCGTCTTCTACACGTATCTAGTCATGTACTGAGGACGTGTTTGAGGAGGATTAAGCTTAGATATACTAAGGATGCAGCGACGACTCAAGCTCCAATGCGCAGATTAATCATCACCACCAGACTCGCAAGAAAACATTTCCAAGGCAACGGTCACGCCATGCGGTTCTTTGAAATGTATTTCGTGGAAGTGATTGGCATGTCAAACGGTCGACGTTGGATTGGTCTGTACGCCAGGCACATGGCCGCATTCGAGATACGCGCTTTGAAGTTCTGCGCTAGAAGCAGGTGAAGCATGGCGACGAGGAACCATGCGACTCTGAAACCTCCTGAACAAGGCATCGTATAGTGTATACAGACTTATCAAAGACTCATCCCTTGGAGAGCGTGAGTATTTGACAGCTCTCTTTCTCTCGAAGACAGAGCTACCTTGCTGCTCATTTGCATCCTCTGCAGCCTCGCAGACTCAGTTACAGACGTTGGACGCTACCGCAACCCCACCAGCGCGCCCCACTCGCGCTGGATACTGACACGACCACGACCTCTCCTGAGCCGGTCTGCTGTCAACAACGCCCGAGACACTGCCCTCCATTCACTGCCATCGCCATTCCAATCCGTCCCTGCATTCGCCCACCTGCACATCTCAAAGTCAGGCGCCCGGAAACGGACAAACCAATAGACGCTGTCCTCCTTTGGGCTATTTCCGTCATTGGCGTACCATCGTCGACCCAGCGTCGGGCGGCAAACTCGAAACCACAGCCAGCACCTGGCCTCCTACACACTTGGGCTCTGTATCCTTCGCAGAGTAGCCCTTGCCTCGCAGTTGCTGCACCCGTCCACCCTCACCCACACGACAGCAGCGCCCGGCGCAAACCTTCAAGATGGCCGAGTCGTCCTTCAAGCAGAAGACGATGAAGAGGAAGAACGTCAAGGGTCTCGCACTCAGCGCTCCTGCCCCCAAACCCGCACCTTCCGCCGGGGACGCCCAAATACCCGGCGCCCGAGCCAACGACGAGAAGCAGGATACCCTGGAGATTGGTGTTGAGTTCCAGCTGGACCTAAAGGCCGAGGACCTGATAGTGCTGCGCGAATTGGGTCACGGAAACGGAGGAACAGTCAGCAAGGTGCAGCATGCTGCTACCAAGGTCATCATGGCGCGGAAGGTGAGTGGTAGACCACGAGGTGTACGGCACGAGGAGACTGACAAGGGCAGGTTATCCACGTCGAGGCCAAGAACGAAGTCCGGAAACGCATCGTGCGAGAACTCCGAATCATGCACGACTGCAACTCACCCTACATTGTCGACTTCTACGGTGCCTTCCAAAATCCTTCCGGCGATGTCATCATGTGCATGGAGTACATGGACGTGGGGTAGGTGCAAGCTGCTTTATGCTGCAGGATGTGAGTTGCTAACTTGCATGCCAGGTCGCTTGACTGGGTCTCACGATCATTCGGACCCGTCCGCGTCGACGTTCTCGGAAAGATTTCAGAAGCCGTGCTCGGCGGCCTCGCCTACCTTTACAGCGCCCACCGTATCATGCATCGCGACCTCAAACCCTCCAACATCCTCGTCAACTCAAAAGGAAACATCAAGCTGTGTGACTTTGGTGTCTCAAGTGAACTCGAGGGGTCTATTGCCGAGACTTTCGTAGGAACAGGCACATACATGGCGCCGGAGCGGATACAAGGTTCTCCGTACACCGTGAAGTCGGATGTATGGAGTGTTGGCCTGACACTTATGGAGTTGGCCATTGGCAAGTTTCCATTCTCTGGAAGCGCGGATGATGACGAAGCTGGAGGCCCTCAAGGTATCTTGGATCTCTTGCAGCAAATCGTGTTGGAACCTTCACCCAAGCTACCAAAGAGCGATGCCTTCCCATCAATTCTGGAGGACATGATTGCGAAGTGTTTGATGAAGGATCCAGCGGAGCGACCAACTCCCAAGGAGCTATACGTAAGTTTTCCTAGCTGAATTCAGGTCTGGAGTGTGCTAACCCTAGTAGGATCACGATGCCTTCCTTCAAGCCGCAAAGCGCACTCCTGTCAACCTTGAAGCATGGGCCATATCCATGATCGAGCACAACAAGCGCAAATCCCATCTCGCCCCAACCGCTCCTGCAGCGGACATCAAAGAGAAGCTCCGCGAGCGATCTCCTCCCCACAAGCGTGAATCCAGCGACCCCAGGCAAAGAGTAGCCAATGGCGACCCCGAACCAGCACCACGACGACCTTCATACCCTACACGGACATCGAGCAGTTCCAATGTTATGAACCTACCTATGCGACCTGCGCCATCTGTAGACGGTCCGGGTAGCAGACCGGGTAGTCGGGGCCCATCAGCCAACGGCTTACCACCTCAGCCGAGGAGGTGGAACAGCGAAGTACAATAGTGGGACAAGACGCGTTTCCTATTAGATAGCGGATCTAGGCAAGTATATAGAGGTTATGGGGGATTCTGTAAGGTCCCTGCTGGATGTCGGGACCATCTTCATCAAATGTAAGGTTGGAGGTTTTCGCCTTGAAGGCTTGTTGTTGTTGACTTTCGACTAGCATCAAATACCAATTACTCATCTTTCGTATTTCGTACCTCGTACAATGCTGATGGTGACCACGATGAACACTGTTTTGCCGGTGGTATAGGCAGTAATTCGGCATCGCCAAACCTGCACCGTCTCATGCTGGATCAGCGTAGAGCATGCCACCTCTCAGCCGTTCATTCGTACATCCTTATCTTCCCCGCCTGAGCTATCTCTTGTCCCTGTCGAAGTACTTGAAGTGAGCGCTTGCTCGCGGGATCACAAGACTTGAAGTACATCCAAGCTCTCGGCTATGGAAAGCTAGACACTTCATGCAGGGAGGAGTTGAACAGGGCTGAGGAGTTCTATTTCATCTTACGGCCGTTAGCAACAGGGTATTGGATTCCGAATAGATGCGATGACAATGTAGGCGTCAGGGCCGTTCGCTATCTTATACGCATTTTTGCTTGCAGGTACACATTTGATTGTTTCCTTGGACGAGGTTAAAGTTCCAACGACGCGGATAAATTGAACACGCATTTCGCACATGTCCTTTGCAGCAATGTCGCACTACACCCGAAGTTCAAAAGAGCAGAGTCGTAGACAGTTATCTGTTCTACAATTAGATCTCTCTAAGACTCTTGATGGACACCTCATTTGCATACACAGCACAAGATCTCCGTATTCAATATCGATCGATCTCCAACATATCAAAGAAGTCACGCGGGCTAATAGATCTATCACCCGAGTGCGTATCGTTCATCACGAAAGTTAATGTTCGAAAGAGGCAAGGTCAAATCGGGGCTCCGAGGTGGTAAGCCGGGAACTAAGACGGGCACTACGCGTTCCCCACGACCACGAGTAGTATATACCATCACCAACTGCGATACTTTCTATCGCAATGAAAGCGCCGAGCAGAATTATAACCGAAGACTACGATTAAGCTGTCCGGCTTCGCACAGACCTTGCTATGACAGACACAAGCGATCGCTCTGCGCTCGGCTTCTCGTTGTCGTCGTTGTTGCCGAGCGGGGCGCATCCGATAGTAGCAAGCGCATTGCTTGTCTTGATTGTGAGTCCCCCAGCTTCAGGGTTGTTCCTTCCCAGCACTGACCATGCAAAGTCCGCGTTTGTGTACGGCTTTTACAACGCGTTCCTCCACCCGCTCCGCCACTACCCCGGTCCTCTACTCTGGCGAGCCTTCCGCATCCCACATGTCGTCTCAACACACCGTGGCGAGATTCACAAACGACTCACTGAATTCCACACCAAATATGGACTTGTCGTGCGTGTCGCTCCCAACGAGCTCTCTTATGCCAGCAGCCGTGCGCTGAAAGAAATCTACGTCACTCGTCCTGGCCATCTACCATTCGAGCGTAACCGCACTTCATTCAAGAAGCAGACCCCAACGGATCCAAACTCCATCGTCAACTGGCACGAAGGCGACCACGCAAGATACAAACGAGCGTTTGCGAATGGTTTCTCGGAGAAGATCCTGAAGGAACAGGCACCGATCATTGAGAGCTACGTTGACCTCTTCATGACACAGCTCAAGAAAAGAAAGACGATCGATCTCGAAAAGTGGCTGAACTACCTGACCTTTGACATCTCCGGCGACTTCACCTATGGCGAGTCCTGGAACTGTGTTGCGAACGGCAAAGCGCATGCCTGGGTCGACATTTCCCAAGACTTCGGTAAAGGGCTTGCGTTGATCCAATCGACCAACATGTATCCACCGATTGACAAGCTGCTCCGCTACATTATCCCCAAGCGAATCCTACAAAGGAGCATGGAGCACCGGAAGATGAGCTTTGAGCAGGCTCGCAAGAGGATCGCAATGGACACGGAGCGTCCAGATTGGGTGACGCCGACCAAGAAATACAGCGACCTCAAAGACCCATTTACAGGCCCTGAGTGGGGCATAAACCTGCTCGTACTCGCCTTCGCGGGGAGTGAGACTTCAGCTAGTGCCCTGACTGCAATCGTCAGATCCCTGGTACAGCACAAGGGCGTGCTGCATCGACTCACCGCGGAGATCAGGGAGACTTTCCAGAATGAGAGCGATATCACAGTGGCAACAACAGGAAACCTGACGTACCTCAACGCAGTCATTTCAGAAAGCATGCGCCTCAACCCTCCCGTCGTAATCGGGGTCCCCCGTATCGCACCTGCAGGCGGCGATATGGTGTGCGACAAATGGGTTCCTGAAGGAGTAAGCTCCTCACACACCCTCCAACTACTGCTTTCTTGACTAACATCCCCATCAACAGACCTACGTAGCCTTCAACCAATTCTCCGCCTACCGACAATCCTACAACTTCCGCAATCCAAACTCCTTTATGCCGGAGAGGTTTCTGGACCCGAAGTCGTATCACGAAGATGACATGGACGTCTTTCACCCTTTCCTGGTGGGCAGACACAAGTGCGTGGGCGTCAGTTTTGCGTGGTCTGAGATGCGTTTGATACTTGCGAGGCTGGTGTGGAGTTTCGATATCAGGCTCAAGGATGAGCGGGATAGGTGGGACTGGGGGGAGCAGTGCACTTATATCCTTTGGGTAAGTCGTATATTGGGAAGGGCATGAGTGGATTCAAGTGCTAACGGTGGTATAGGACAAGAAGCCGCTAGAGGTTATACTGGATCATGTCAATAAGTAGGCAATAGATCTTACTCACAGTAGCCGAATTTGTAAGGTTGAATGGCAGAGTACTTCGAAAATGGCTTTTGTGGACATATCTTCAAGTATCCAGTTCATTGCTCCCGCTCGGCTCTCATCATGTCGCCAGACCTCATTGTGCTCTAATTAACTCATGAGTGCTACTTAGAAGACTGGTGCTGTGCATGACCGGTTTTGTGCGGGTTTGCTCCCATTACACGCTCGCTACCACCGTCCGTAGGTGGTATCTACCCAGTATTGCCTCCTTATCATGGGTCGAAACATTAGAGATTCATAATCTGCTCTGACCCCTATGATTGACCCTTACAAATTGTTCTACAAAGCGTTCTCATCGCAACAGTATAAAGTCGAGACGCCACATTTTTTTTCTTCTCGTTCTCCAACCAACTCGATCACCGGAAATCTACAAACATCGAACGAGCGTAAACCCATCACAACACTACAACCAAATCATCAAATACCTTGTCGGGCAAGCTCAAAACACCTCGCGTTTCCACCAGAGAAAACCTTACCTCCCTTCCGCACGACAAAAAGAACCCCCAAGACCAATACTCATACCACCACGATGTTCACCACCACAAAACTCATCACCCTCATGCTCATCGGGCTACTTTGCTCCCTCATGGTATCAATGGTACACGCTCTTCCAGTACCCCGCCCTACGCTCGAGCCCAGATTCTTCTCGTCTGGGGCGGCTGGAGCCCTTGCTTCTTACGCATCCATGTATCACTACCACACCTCAGCTGCTGGGAGGGTAGATCTGGACTTGGGTTTGACGAGTGTGCTGCTTGTTGGTGGGATGGCAGTGGGGGTCATGGGTGGGTTGTGGTAGATCAGGAGGGAGATGTGTAGGGTGAAGGGTTGGAGATGGAGAGGTTGGGGGTATGAGTGGTATGTTCGTTGTGTTGTTGCGACCTTGGTACGAGATGAAGATGGATTCTGGTGCTGGTTCTATGTAGTTCGATACCAAGAATCCGCTGGCCGTCGACGACAATGTGACTAAGGAAGAGTGAGTGCGAGGAGAACCCAACCCGGTCGTAGTTAGACCGCTCCCAGGGCACGTCGTCGACATTGTGAGGAGCGCGTTGTAGACGTCAGGGAAGCTTTCTTCCGCGCTATTGACGATTTTGTCGTAGGTGTAGGCGCCCGGGCGGCACTCTCGCAATAATACAACCCTCTATATAGCAATGTCATTGACGATAGTCCTTGCAAACATTCGAAGTGAACGCCAGTATGCAGAGCTGTTAATTGTGGCGTGTCTTGGTGAAAGTCGCGTTCTTTCACTAGCTAACGGTAAGCACTGTGGGACGGCTTTCTCCCTGGAGGCTTGTGATGCTTCCGATCAGGGGACGACGTCCTTGTAGTGGTACTGCAGAAGCATTTGTAGCCCGATTTTTCTTCAAGCAGCAGCTTTGCGCGCCTCGACGGCCTTCTCATACACCTTGAGGTCGACGTTGCCAGCGTTCCAGACGGTGACAGCTTGTACGAAGACACCCTTCTCCTTCCTGCGCTCAACATAGCCGATGACATTGAGCCATGTCCCCACGTCTACGTTGAGTTCCTTAATTCGCTCGAGCACATGTTCGATATCGAGATTCGCGATGACGGGCGGATCAGATATCGGATAGTTGTGCTTGAGCCGCAGTGTCGCGGTCTTAGTGACGTACTCATCGATGCTGCGGCGCAGTCAGTCTCTGTGGTAGCTGTGGCTTTCACTCCAAGTACCAGCCCAGAAAGCGGACTTTGGTGCCCTGCGCACATGCGGGCAAGTCACTCAGCAGCACCAGATTCGAAGCGACGGGACCAGACATTGTGCTTGGAGGAGGGCGCGCAGAATGCGGTGGAAACTAGAGCCGCGGCCGAAGTGCACGGATGCACGTGCCATGGTTAGCGCAGACGACATCATACCCTCGTGCATCCAGGCCCGATTCATGACCAGCCAGGCACCCTTCAATCACCACCACGCCGCCGCTGCAACAACTCAACCCTCTGCGCAACGCTCGCACCTACCGTACCTCTAACATCTCTCGCATTCCCACACAGTACGTTCGAGCCATCCACCATCCCCGCAGCCCCGCCATCCCACTCTCTGATAGGCTCCGAGTCTCCTGCATCGGCGCCCGATAGGACCATACGACCGACAGTTGCTAACTAAAACCCTCAAGACAACTTCAATATGAGCGGCTGGGGCCTGGGCTGGTTTGGCGGTGGCCAGGCGAAGAAGGAGGCGCCCAAGAAGGCCATCCTCCAGCTTCGAGGCCAACTTGAGATGCTGAACAAGAGAGAGAAGCACCTGCAAAACCAGATGGATGAGCAAGATGCGCTCGCACGGAAATTTGTTTCTTCCAACAAGCAAGGTAGATTTACCTGGATTAGGCTTCCTGGCACAGTCGCTAACGCCTATGACAGCCGCGAAATCAGCGTTACGGCGAAAGAAGCAGTTCGAGCACTCACTCGAGCAGACGAGCGCACAGATTATGACCCTAGAAAAAGAGATCTACTCCATCGAGACGGCCAACATCAACAAAGAGACTATGGAAGCTATGAAGAGCGCAGGAAAGGCCATGAAGGAGATACACGCCGGCCTGACCATCGACAAAGTCGACAACGTCATGTACGCCTGTTCAACAACCAAACACCCACAGACCAACTTGCTAACAAGATGCGCAGGGAGGACCTCCGCGAACAACACGCAATCGGCGAAGAAATCAGCGAAGCCATCACCTCAGGCGTCGGCGCAAACGGCATCGACGAAGACGAGCTGGACGAAGAGCTCGCCGAGCTACAACAAGAGAAGCTCGACGAGCAAATGCTCAACACAGGCAACGTGCCCATCCACGACGCCCCCTCGTCACAGAAGCTACCGCAAGCGCCGAATACCAACATCAAGGCCCCACAGCGGGTCGAGGAGGACGACGAAGAAGAGGAGCTGCGGAAGCTACAGGCCGAGATGGCTATGTAAGCGCGCGGTGGAGGCTCACACTATCGCTATCATGCGAGCATAGCGACTGCGCGTAGCTGGGAAGGTTTTCAAGGCGTACGGCGATATCAGCAGAAGCGGCATCTTGGGCTTTAGCTTCTTCTTTCCTATATATAATCGCAGCATTTGGGTCTTGGATTTTGTGAAGAGGCACTTGCTCTACCTATGAGATCAGGCGGGATATACCTTGCAATCATACTCTACATTTGGAAATTCTGACTTGCAAACTTGCTGTGCTTTCTGGAGGCTATCCCTTTGAGCTCTCGGCATGCCGCGGCCTCTGGGAGGACACCATCAGGCAACTACTCATTTCAAATTAGGCAGCGACACTTGTAGACATAATGGACTCCCGAACGCGCGTCGAAGCCTTTATGAGGCGTCTTCAGGCTGCAGTCGAAACACTCAGGACCAACTCAACCAGGCAATTCAACACCAGGACTCCACATACCACAAAATCAGAGCAAGAAACAAGTACGCGTATATACATATTTCATTTTTTGAGACGACCCGATACCGTCGTCGTTACTGCACTATCATCTATCTACTCGAAACAGTCATGTATACCATAACGCATATATCCCATATCGACGTAAAAAAACAGTTTACGCGACGAAAAAATCCACTTTTGATAAAACCATGAACCCCCAACCAAGCTACGCTGTTCAAGGGTATCATAATCAATGAGTTGGGAGGGGCAAGCCAAAATGCTTGCCGCTTAGAAACGCCGAATGTCAAATGCTAAGGTCTGTCAAAGAGCGGAGGGCCAGAAAATGGAACACTACTCAGTCTTCTTGGGTGCGTCTTGGCTCTCCTCTGGCTTCTTCGCTTCGTCCGCGTCCGGGGTGCTGTCTGCGGTCAACTCGGTCATTGGGCGCCGCATCGGGGTGCCCGTTTGAACTGCTGGCGACCCAGGAACGGGCGTGATCGGCTCGACGCTCGGGCGATGCGAAGGCATAGCGGCGATGGGAGGCGCTGGTGCCGCAGTTGATGGTGTAGCGGCCGTAGGCGTGGATGGTGATGCGCCGGTCATATTTGGCGTAAACTTGTGCGGTTCGCTATTCTCGCGTGGCGGAGCTGGAGACGCACTGCCTGTCGGATGTGCAGCTTGGGGCGCAGGCTGGTATTGCTGAGACACGGTGTTCGCGGCAGCACCCGCAGCAGCAAAGGCCGCCGCAGTACTTGCTTCGTCTTCATCCTTGACATCAGGTGCCCTTTTGACGTACTTGTTGATGCTCTCGACTCCGCAAATGGATATGAGCAACTTACGCTCCGGTTCCGTCAGGGTCGACTCAGGTACAGTCCTGTCTACGCAAGCTCTAATCGCGTTGTCCACCTTCTTTTGCTCCTCGGGGCCTAGGCACTGCTCAAGATAAGTCTTCCTATAGGCTTCAAGCTGACGAATGAGTTCCGGATGAACTCCGATTGGGTAACGTCCAGACGGATGAGGCGCTGCAGTATCATTTGTCGAACCTTGACGCAAGGGTGGCTGGGGCGGGGGCGGGCCGTAAGGTGATGCTGAAGACTGCGGCTGCGACGCCGAAGGGGCATTCGACTGCTGGCCCTGTGGGGGATATGATGCATAGGGACGAGGCGGTGCAGGACCGTATGGGCTGGCGCCGGCATTGGCATATGGCCCACCGTAAGGGCTCGGTGCCGAGGGTCCGCTGTAAGGCGACTGTTGTGGGGCGGCCGTGGGATAGAGGACACCATATTGACCACTTGAACCAGCTGCTGAAGATGCTGGTGGAGCCTGCGGGTTAGGCTGCGGATACGGTCGTGGTGGGTTCGGGGCGGGTGGACTTCCAGCTGTATTACTACCGCCGCCCCACGGAGACGCATAAGGCGAGGGATGGGGCGCGTTCTGGGGCGTGGCCGACGCAGCTGAGTTACCTTCGTTGCGAGTCATGCTGGGTGGTAAGCGAGGCTGCGAAAGACTAGGCGGCAGTCTGGGAGGTGGCTGTGGCATCGCATGAGGCATGCCCGGGTGGTATCCGTACCCA